CGTGTGCTCTTCCGATCTTATATACACTATATAATAATATGCGTGTATATGTGAGTTGTAAATAACAAAGATTGAACTTTGATATATAAAGTGTATTTGCTATTTCCCTACATATATCTTATACAAAATCGTAATCCGAAATATTTTTAAATAATTATATATCTGTAGATAATCGGAAAAATATCTATACGAGAAGTTCTCTCGTAAGTTAACATTTATAAACATATAAATGATTTTGTTAACAAATGAATTGATAAATAGATTTTTTTATCGCGATTCTAACATTGTAAATAGTAAGAAACAGTTAATGTTTATTATTAATTTAAATGTTTTAATCGAAATAATTTATTAGTAAATTATATGGCTATTTTGATAAATAATATTGCTTAAACATTGTCAATAAATAAATATAATGATTAAAAATATTGAAATAAATCAATACAGCTATTTTAATTTTGTATCGTAAGCATTATCTGTATATTATTTTCATTCACTTATTGGCTGACCTAAATGTGACATAAATTAGCCAAAACATGCAAAAAATTACGTAAATAAATAATGTGAGAGAACAAAATCAATCTATCTTATCTATCCTAAACATTGCTTAACGTCGCGTCAGAAAGATTTACTTTACTTTTTTGTTTACAATACTCAAGATATTCAAGAACTTGTTATAAATTCTATTTGTAATTATTAACCATAATAAACTCACTTATCAATTTTGCTCACTTATCAATGAGATCATAAAATAAGAAAAAAGTTTCTCTAAATTTTTTAAATTCATATATAATTATTGTATTTGAAGCAAAGAAACAAAAAATAATTATATAGAGAAAAAATAAAACAAAGAAATTTATTGAAGATTTTTATTAATCTATTATGAAATATTAACAAAAAATATTCGTAAAAGTGCTACAGTTTAAGCGACTTCTCCATTAATATTGTAGTAACGTATAAGAATAAATACATTTTTTAATAATGTTTGAAAATGTAATTTCCGATGACAAATAATAATAACAATTGTTTGCTTGTCATTTAATATCGTATTCGAAAGAATATGTGACATATTATAAAAGGCCAAAAACATTAGTCTTTAAGATATACAATTTTTGAATTTTCAACGTAAATTAAATATTTGATAGTTAAGTAATATCAAGAACTTGATTTACATAAAAAATGATCTAGTCTTAATAGGTATATAGTAGGTATAAGAAAATATGTATTGTCAATATTCTTGTCGAAACAATTTTACTTATAGAAGGCTAAAAACTCAGTAAAAATTTAAAGCTCAATTTTATTAATCTTTTGTTTAAAAGTAATTTACTTCAGTTTTTAGTATATTATTACGTACGTCTTTATTACATAACTATAAGCATTAAACTTGCAATTTTCTAATAAAATTAGCAGCTATACAATGTATGTAGGTACATTAATAAATAGCAAATAATGTCTATAGAAAAGTGGAGAATTACATATTTATCTTGTTGTAAAGAATATAAATAAGTTAAGAATAGGTCAGCTATACATATATGTATGTACATCGTAAATAGCAAATAATGTTTACAGAAAAGTGGAGAATTGCATGTGTATCTTGTTGTAAAGAATATAAATAAGTTAAGAATAAGTTAGCATTGTATTTGTTATGTAATAAATGTGAGTTAATTACTGTATGAGAAACATACATAGATTATTAATTATTATATAGTATTATTTATACGTATGAATAAAAATGTAAAATATTCTTTATATTTTTAAATATACTGCAAAGTATAAATATGTGCATACAAGTATATTTTTATTATTTTATTATCCATAATCACAAGAGTATTATGGAAACTTCCTAAATATTAAATAAATATTCTGTTACATAAATATATATAACGTGTCTTTAGTTAGTTTTATTTAAGATTAGACTTGTTTATAAGTCTGATAAAATTACATTACATTTGCAATTTATTTTTACTGGTTATGTATAGTTTATGGTATAGTTTTAGTTTGTAAAACTATTTACTTCGATCGTTACTTACGATTGCCGGATATAGCATATGACGCTAACAAAATAATGAATATACGTATTTTATCTTAATTATTTTATTTATTCCAGTTTTGTTTTGCATTTACCTTTAGAATAATTCTCGCAATTTTCTCAGTTATAGGTCAATATTTATAGTTAATTCTTATATTTAAGACCATCTTAAGTACCAGTTTTGAGATGTCATAAGTCATTCATATAGAGCCGTATTAGCGTCTTAAGAGATTACTTAAGACAGTGTTGAAATAAGAACTAATTATGAATACCGGTCATAGTTCTCGTGTGACTGTTCAGCTGTAACTTGTTTAAAACTAATTATCATTGATTAAAAATAAGGAGAGGAAAAATTGACAATTTAAATTTCACATTTAAATTGTCAATTTTTCCTTTCTTGAAACTAATTATCATTGATTAAAGATAAGGAGAGGACAATTTGACAATTTAAATTTCACATTTAAATTGTCAATTTTTCCTCTCCTTATCTTTAATCATGATTATTATTTTCAAGAGAGGAAATCGTAAGTAACGATCGAAGTATGAGTAATGATGATGCGTAAAATGCTACGGTTGATAATAAAGTCAGACCATTCGATCGCCGGTGGCTGTCTAGCGAACAACGGGAAAAAATCGTATAACTGATGTTGAAGATTATACGTTTTCGCGAAATTTGGATAAGATGTTATACGAGACAAATAAATACGCAGAAGCTATGCGTGCCAAACATCGGAACAGATCTGCAGAAAGCGATAGAGAAAGTGTCGCGCATCAGACCGTCGAATCAGCCACCCAAAGTCTGGCAATTACAGATCGAAAAGGTGGATAAAGACGGGAAGTTGATAAAGTTCACGATTCAGGAGATTCCCGAAGACCGATACGAAGACGCGATTCAATATATGTAAGTACACATTATATAACTTTCTACCCGTTGAACCGATATGTCGGAGTAAGTTTCACCACGTTTCCGAGATTGTTTCATAATGCAACATCCTTTTGAGAACAGTGTATGATATACCGTTTTACGGATTTAAGATAAAAGATGAAAATAAAGAAAACTCTCATAAAGAGTATTTTTCTTTTTAGAATTACCTTCTAACCGTTCTAACGAGGCCAGAGTCAAATAATTATTTTTTATTTAACATGATCTTTCATTACGATTGCTCTTTATTTTCTGACCTTATTGCAGACGGGCAAAACGATCCTTTATTCATACAAGATATCAAGGTTGGGAAATAACTCGTTACTTGTAACGAAGTTACAGTTACAGTTACTTTTTTTTAATAACTGTAACTTAACTTCGTTACTTTCTTTCCATGTGTAACTGTAACTTAACTTAGTTAGATTTTTTAAGTAACTAGTAACTAATTTAATAGTTACTTTTACAGTTACTTTATATATGTCAAATCGTCACTTTCATGGATCAAAATTATGCAACTCTTTCGCTCAATCACCTAATCGTAATGTTGATTGTAATTATACGAAATATTTAAATAGCTCA